TCAAAGCATACTGAGCATCTTTCTCTTTGACACCATGTCTGAAATCCCACGTGATCTGTCAAATACTAATGCATGAAAATCCTAACCTCAAAAAAATCACCCGTTATGTTTATTAAGCATCGTAATAACTTGACGAGAATTTTTTATTGCCTTTAATGCTAAACCAAGTGTTAAATTTTTTGCTGGTTTACATGCGCCCTTAGTGACTGCGTAAATTATATCACTGCAAATTGATATAACTTGTGTTGTAGCCTGGGTTGAGTTTTTCTCAGAAAAGTGAGGACCTTTAATAAGATTACACATAAAATCAAATAATAATGGTGGGATTTCACATTCCCCGCGGATGACGTCTTCTGCTGTGAGGCGTTTAGGCAATCGTTTCAATTCAATTTTTTTTATACAGTTTCTTAAGTGAAATGAAACATCATCGAATTTCTCTTCGTTTTTCTTCACCAGAAATGCTGCATTATTAGCCATAACTGAAACGTCGATGTCTGCCTTATATATAATTTTTTTATAACGTGGACCTTTCGATGCTTCCATTATTAAAGTATCACCAAATTTGTTAAAGATTTTTTTTCCCAGCATTTCAGATCGGTAATCCTCAATATCAACGAGATCGATTGTATTTTTTCCAAATTCTAATAATAGAGCTTGATATCTTAAAACTAATTGAGAGAAGTACATTACTCGATTATTTTCAATTATTTCATTTGAAATAAAATCGGCAATACATTCAAAAGCTTGTTTATGCAGGTTTCGATAAGTATGCCAACTGGAATCTGAATGATGATCATCATTTCGTTTTTCTTTCGTTAGAAAAGAAGCATAACAGGGTTTATGATAAGCTATCGGAAGATTCTTCAGCTTTAAAAGAAACTCACGATCACCCAAGCTTTCTGCTACATTTTTCATTCTTTCACACAGCTCATTACTCGAGGAAATTATTAGATTGAGGACTCGCTTTCCTGATTTTTTCTGAATCTGGTTGCAAAATATACAACAGACAACTTGGCCAGCAGATGTAGATGATGTTGAAGTTGACGGCATCTGAAATGAGTAGAAAACTTTTAAGTTTATAGTTTACGATTATAAGATTTTCAAGAATGAAAGAAGAAGAAATTTATTATCAATTGAAAAAAAAAAAATTATACATGCAGCAAGAGTAAAATATATAACATAGATAGAGAAATTTATATTATAAGATCTATCTAATACTGTTCTTCAAAAATATTTAAATGATTCAGTAGCAAATAATAAATGATTACCTCGTTCAAATCTTCAGAATTTGCAATATTTTCTGTATTATTTTCGTCATCTTCAAGAGCTGTTGTCTCAGGAGGTTCATTATCACTAGAATTAAGACTTCTTGAGGTCGTTGGGAGCTACAAAAACTAAATAAAAATAGTTATATAATGAGAATGAAAATTTCAATTGGGGTATTCACACCTGCCTGGTTATCAGGTTATCTAGTTAAAAATTATTAGTCTGTAGTGTATTTTGTTTTTGTAAACTGAGTTAAAAATATAACCACATAACCAGATAACCTGATAACCAGGCAGGTGTGAATACCCCAATTGAAATTTTCATTCTCATTATATGTGTGAATACCCCAAATGTTATTAAATCAATTCACATGATTTAAGGAAATTTTCTCATTGTTAAAATGTTTATTTATATTAAATTTGTAAATTAATGGACATAAATTTCACAAAAATCAGCTAAAACAAATTCTATAAATTCACTAAATTTTAAAATATTCAGAAAACTTTTAATAAAAAAGTCTACGTTTACAAGAGCAACATACATATATGAAATTGAATGTACGGCTTATCTTTAAAACAAAAATCGATATGAAAAAATAGCTAATTGTAAATATTTAATAAGTATAAACAAAAACTTTTACTTACTTCATAATTTAAAATTTAATTTAAATTACGAAATTTTCAAATTCTTTTTTGTATTTTTGTTTTAAAACTGTTACTTTGTTGTAACACGTGGAGCGATAACCAATAAGATCCAACGATTCTTTGCTTAATTGAATATCTCCATACTTAAACTTTTGTTTAAGCGTTCCACGTATTCCAAAATTTCATGATATACTATTCCAACTCTTGCCATGAAATCAACCCAGATTTGTTGTTTTTCTTCTTTCTTCAGTCTTGACAAACTCGACTGAGCCGCGAGAGGAATACATTTTTACTCAATTCGATTTCAAGTTTAACAAAAACGTCTTCGAAAATTGGTATTCTGAGTTTAGGTCGAATCGAAAGAAGAAGAGGAGGAGAGAAAATATCTTCGAAATCAGCCGATTGCCTGGGAATGTGTGAAATCGAAACTAAACAAAAGAAATAATTGCCACCAAACTATAGCAACTTATGAAATTAAAATTTGTAAGTACTTTGAAAATAACCAAATATATCCAACATTATTGTTATTTAAAAATAAAATCCTTTCTTAATTTAAGTGGAAACATAATTATAAGAGGAGAACGAGTCCCAGATTGCTGAAAGCTGAAAGGCGCAGATTTAGGGACATGTTTGATCCTTTTCAGACGAGTGAAGAATTATGAGAAATTCATCTTGAACTGCATTACTCATCGCTCAAATCCAGTGAAATTATAAACGTTGTTTGAGCGCTCCACAACATTTGCATTTAGTACAGAGTGGAAGATTTGAACGCAAATGAATTCGATTTTGAAACACGTCAGGGGTAGAGGAAGAACAAAGCTTATCCTTCCATACCAAATCGTATTCGAGACAACATACGCACCTCTTTTTAAAAAGTTAGTAAAAACGAGTACAATAATAAAAACATATTTTTTATGAATGTATATAAAAAGAATAAATTGTATTCAGTGCATCTCACTGTGTCTATAGATAATGAAAACAAAAACGCCTGGACTTCCTCCTTGAAAACCGCAATAGCCCTTTTGGTTGCCATTATTTGAGAAAATTTTTCGTATTGCCCGTATTGCTGCTCGCGAAAACACATAAATCGAGAAAATTCATTAATGATGACCTTTACAATCATGCACACTATATTTTACTTAATTTTTTAATAAAATTTTAATATTTGAACCCACGAAAACAGCAATCGAAACGTTCTCCGTCAAGAAATTCGCAACTTAGAAAAACGTAACTACGATCGAAATGCAGAATAGGTATAATCGTACATTTCGAAGATTGATCGAAACGAAACGGAACACTGAGGGAAATAATGCATAGTAAAAATTAATACTTTATATTTGATTATCGTTTAAAAATATTCGAATTTAAAAATAATATTTTCATACAAAATTTATTACGCACGTATTTGACTGTTCACATCTGAGTATATATATGAGTGTACATAGGCAGCCCAAGCATGCAGAGCGCCGCTCTGAGAGCGGTGACAACACACACATTCATACATAGTACATGTTTATCCGTACAAATCGCGTGCTGGTGTTGATGGATATATTCAACATTTGAAAGCAAATTTATATGCCTGGGTGTAGCTGAGTGCGCAAAGATGCATGCCATAATTTGTTGAAATCCAGAGATGGTCAGGGTTCGATAACCACTGCAGTCAACATGCAAGTTAAATATATTTTTTTCTTTAGTTTTTGGATTGTTTATTCACTTCACGGATGCTTTTTCAGAACGAACGCGGTCATTTTAATATGCGCGTAATTGAATTGAATATTTACCAATATACAGTACTTTCGTTTACGTTTATATTGAGATCAATTACGTTTCTATTTGATTTGAATAACCGAGCATCGCATATTTTGTGTGACGGTGGTGTCTTCTTCTTCCTCTTCTTTTTTGGCGCTGTAACCACTCAGCAAAGCACACCAGTCGTTTCTCCTCTATGCCAACTGACGCCAATTGGAAACGCCAAGTGAAGCCAAGTCCTTCTCCACCTGATCTTTCCATCGCAGTGGGGGCCTCCCTCTTCCTCTGCTACCACCAGCGGGTTCCGAGTTGAATACTTTCAGAGCTGGAGCGTCGGTGTCCATTCGAACGACATGAGCAAGCCAGCGGAGCCGCTTTATTTTAATTCGCTGCACTATGTCCATATTAGGGTGGCCAGATATTATAGTGACATAATCACTACAGTTGGGATCAAAAATCAGTACAAAGCCATAAAAGTCAGCTCATTTTTAAGCGTATTTTTTATTACTAACAATATAGCAACCAAATAACAGCCCATTAATTTAACCAAAAATAACGAATAGGCTTTTAAATACATATAGTGTAATCAATATAAAAATTCATTACTTTAAAACAAATCAGAGGTATTACGTATGTATGTACAGCTGTGCTCACGAAAATAGTAGTAAAATGTATTGACGGGTTTTGAAATTTTTTCTTTCCTTACTTAATTTAATTTTTTTATAAAAATATAGTTAATTCTATAACAAAAGACAAGTGAGTTGAAGTCTCAAACTTCCTGGAAAATTTATAAAAATTGAGAAAATTAAAAAAAAATTGTAGCCCATTCAGTTTCACTAGAAGACGAGCTCGAGTCAGAATCTGTTTGCATATTTTAAGCTACAAATTTAAAACATATTTAGTTGGTGTGCTTATTAAATACAACATTCACATTCAAAGCTACATATATCATATCCAAGAGTCGGTAGTTTGCACCATTTCCAAATGTTTAGAACTTACATTGCACCGTAGCAGTAGTCGTCTTAAGCTTGACATACTGACAGTGGATGTTTAATTATAATCAAAACATTATCTCTTATTGTCATGTTCTCAGTGTACTTAATATATGATTAACTCACCACCACCTTTCATAAGATTTATTAATGGCGAAACCAGCTTTTCCTGCCAATCCTGTAAAACCTGCAAATTGTGAAGTTGGGTTGGGTTGAATCCAAACAGTTGTTATTTTGCGAAATCCTATGAAACGAAACCATTGCAAGCTGACACCTTTTTAATAATAGTTTCAATCTGCTCACACGTATGAGTTGTCAAATCCATTGTTTTGAACATGTAAACCTTAAGCAAATGTCAATTACACCAATTTACAAAAGTATTTATTAAATGTAAAAATCAGTACAAACTCAAAAAATCAGTAAATTTTGCTTACTGATTTCGGGCTCTTAAAAATCAGTACAATAGAAGAAAATCAGCACATGTACTGATTAAATCAGCGCATCTGGCCACCCTAGTCCATATCGTTGTAAGGCTCATACAGCTCATCGTTCCATCGTCTGCGGTACTCCCCGTCGCCAACGCGTAAGGACCCTTAAATCTTCCGCAAATTCTTTCTCTCAAACACTCCAAGAGCCGCCACATCGGATGTTGTCATTGTCCATGCTTCTGCGCCATATACCAGCACGGGCATGATGAGTGACTTATAGAGCGTGGTTTTAAGTCCAAAGTAGCACTTGTTGGCAAGAGTGATTCTGCGTTGGATTGTAATGCTGACATTATTATCGGTGTTAATGCTGGTTCCCAAGTAAACGAAATTCTCCACTTTCTCGAAATTGTAACTGTTAACAGTGACGTGGGTGCCAAGGCGCGAATGTGCTGACTGTTTGTTTGATGACATGAGACACTTCGTCTTGTCCTCGTTTACCACCAGACCCATTCGCTTTGCTTCCCTGTCCAACTTGGAAAAGGCAGAACAGACTTCGCGGTTTTTGTTGCCGATGATGTAGATGTCGTCTCTTATTATCTCCTCCAAAATCAGATTAAAGAAGTCACATGAAAGGGAGTCGCCCTATCTGAAACCCCGTTTTGTGGCGAACGGCTCGGAGAGGTCTTTCCCAATTCTGACGGAGCTGGTGGTATTGCTCAACGTCATTTTATACAGCCGTATGAGTTTTAAGGGGATGCCAAATTCTGACATAGCGGCGTATAGGCAACTCCTTTAAGTGCTGTCAAAAGCGACTTTAAAGTCGACGAAGAGGTGGTGAGTGTCAATCCTTTTCTCGCGGGTCTTTTCCAAGATTTGGCGTATTGTGAATACCTGGGCTACGGTGGATTTGCCAGGTCTAAAGCCACACTGATAAGGCCCAATCAGTTCATTGACGGGGGGCTTCAGACTTTCACACAATACGCTCGATAAGACCTTGTAACCAATGCTTAGAACGCTGATCCCGCCGTAGTTGGCGCGAATGGCGGGGTCACCTTTCTTGTGGATTGGGTAGAGCACACTTAATTCCAGTCGTCGGGCATGGGTCCATCTGACCATATTCTGCACAAGAGTCGATGCATGCACCTTATTAACTCCTCGCCGCTGTAGCTCAGCTGGCAGGCTGTCAGCTCCAGCGGCTTTGTTGTTTTTCATCCGCGTTATTGATATACGTACCTCGTCATAGTCAGGTGGTGAAACGTCGACTCGGGTTCTTCTTCCCCACAACTTCCCGTGCTACTACCATTTAGTAGGGTGGAAAAGTGTTCCCTCCATAATTTAAGTACGCTCTGGACATCAG